CACTATTTGATCTGAGGAAGTGGGTCTGGCCCACAAAAGCTCATCATCTAATAAACCATCTTGTTAGTCTTTAAAGTGCTACATTGTCCTGCATTTTGCTTCGGGAATAAAATAGTTTTTTTTCACCAAATGTGCATCCCAATGAACACAGTTTTGCATTCTTATCTAACTTCTGGATTCACATACCTAGGAAGGAGCCTCCTCCACAGTCCTTACACATTGTAGCTCTAAAATAGTGATAGAAATGCAGCCATGTTAGTCTGGTGTAGCTGAAACAAAATACAGGACTATGTAGCACTTTAAAGGCTAACAAGCTCTAAAGCATTCATCTGCTGCATAGATGCAAAAATCCTTATTGAATCTTAGGTGCTGGAACTCGGAGTCCTGGAGATGTTGCTACCTTGAAGTGGTTTCCATTCCATACTAGGTTTACAGTTTGGTTCAATGGATCTCAGCACCCCCGCTCCCGGTGCAAATGGTTCTACCACCCCTATACTGAACCGCACTGAAGTTACTCCATCTTTCCTTGAGGCAATCCCTTGCTCAGGAAAAGAAACAAAAAGGCTGAGCAAAGAAACTATTACAAAAGTTGCAGCAACTCTTTGGCACACTGGGGGCCCTGCCATACTTGGAAAAACAACCTAAATGGAAAAAAGCACAAACATGCTTGCACCCACCGCTTACAGCAGATAACCAACAGGCGATTAAAATAGTGGAGGTCAGTTCGTTGCGGACAGGTGTTCACGAGTAATCAGACTGCTGCCGGGTGTTTGTGAAAACTGCTTGGAACAAATCACTCTGAAATGTGTTGGTTTAAACTCTTCAGTGGGTAACTCACAGATGACACATATCTGCAGAACTGGGATTCATTTGCAAAACAGGAAAAAGACACTATTCACAACAAATGCAATGAGTAATTTGAACATATCTATAAGCCAGGGAGATTCTAGACTTGACCCCTAGCGATTGTAAATCAGCAGGCATCTTAGGAAAAGTCCATAGGTCTTTGCCTATTTATTCCAGCTGAAGATCTGGCCTGCTAGCTTTGTGTGCGGCTCTTATGAGAAGAAATGCGAAAGAGAAAGGCAGGCGCAGCTGCCAGCTCTACAAATTACAGTGAGACAGATAGAGAATTAAAAAGTCAGCGCAGTCCCCTTTATTCCCACATTCTTCTTGGAACCCTGTTTCTCATCAAGTCCACTTCAATGCTACCACAATAACTGATGCTTTTGAGTACACAGGGTCAAAGCAAAAGCTTGCCATGCCTTTATCTAGGTAAACGTAGAGCACTTAGGTAAGTATTGTGGCAAAACTCTGGCAAAACCCAGTGGGCCTTGCATTTCTAGGCAGTTATTGTTTGCCTCAGAGGTTCTCTGTGACCCTCTACCTCACAGCTTCCTGAGCCATCCTTGTCCCTGGCAAAGTCAAAAGATTGGGGTAAAACCCCTCCATAACACCTCACAGCTTCCTGAGCCATCCTCAAAGTCAAAAGATTGGGGTAAAACCCCTCCATAATCCTGGCTTCCCTTTCTAGGAACAGACTTTTGTTTAGTGGTGTGGGGAGGATTGGTTCCCCACTGCTCCGGGTTCTGGCCCAGGGACTCTCAGTAGCAGCAACTAGGATTGGGGGGAACCCAGGCCCACTGCTCCGGGTTCTGGCCCAGGGACTCTCAGTAGCAGCAACTGGCAGTGTTTTTCCTCTAGCCCCAATACAGCAAACTTTACCCTGTGTCAAATGCTCCCCTAGTATCTTCTCCCTGGTACCTGAGCGAATCTTTCCTGCTTCAGCACAAACTCTTTCCTTTTTGTGATCCTCAGCAACACATTTCCCTCCTGTTAGTCCTTTACTCCTCTCCTTCCCTCCCCCTTGCCTGGGGGAAACCTTTTAAAGTAACCCAGCAGGCCTTAATTGCCTGCAAGTGCCTGATTATCCTGCTGCTTCAGACAAGCTCTTAACTAGCCTCAGGTGCCTTGGTTGCTTGGCAGCAGTCTCTGGCAGTTTATTCAGGAATCAGAAGAACATTCACCCATGCAGCATGTCTACCCTCCACCAAACTATTGTAGCCAGATGTCCTGGGTCTGTCACAGTATGTAATAATATAATCTATGCTATCATGTGCCGAAAGTGTCCGTCTGCTATGTACATTAAACAAACATCTCAGACACTTCGCCAAAGGATTAATGCCCACAAAACAGATATCAGACAAGATCACAAAGAAAAAACAGTTTCTTGCCATTTTAACCAGAACGGACACTCTCTCAATGACTTAACCACCTGCATTCTGCTACAAAGACCTTTTACATCTGCACTTGAAAGGGAATCCTCTGAACTGTCATTCATGTTAAAATTCGACACTCTCCGGGAAGGAATGAACAAACACGCAAACTATCTTACCCATTACCAAGATAGCTTCCCCAATTATCACCTCTAATACCATTAGCTCACAGACATCCCACTCTCCCCACCTCTAATATCATCAATTCACAGACACTTACCTTCCTTCCTTCATCCCCCCCCCCCCCCCCCCCGTTCTGAAATGTGATTTGTCCTTTTCATATGTGTTCATTTTTTTAATTGTATCCTTTGGTATATATGGTTGTGACTATTTTTTTCCACTATTTGATCTGAGGAAGTGGGTCTGCATTCAGGTAAGCCCCCTTTAAATACACTGGGCTTAAAGTTTTTTAAAACTTACCTAAGTAGACTTCCTTTTGCACTATGTAATGACATATAGCTAGACACAGCACCAGGAGTTAAAGAGCCTATAAAGCGGTGTTAGGAAAAGCTCACTTGACCAGTTCCACAACATTTCAAGGGATGCTGTGTGTGGATCAGTGTTTTAAAGGAAGCAAAAAAAGTATTTTGCTACACAATGAATTGTATCTAAATTTGATTGCAGAAGAGCACTCCAGGTATGGAGATGCTGTTTGAATTTATCCAGCAATTCAATCTCCTAAATGATGTAGAAAGGCGGTCAAGCTACATTAAATGCTTGCCCATCATTAATTTTTCACATAAGCCATTGCTGAAAGGACCCTGTGATTCCAAAGAAAAGAGAAAGGAGCAGCAGCAGGCAAAAACAAACACAAATACTTTTGTCTCCTCCATAGTCATTTTGAATAAATTTTAGCGTCACTATCATCTTAGCATGCTGTACATACACCTACTGTGACAAATGGGATCAGAACCCCAAATAAACCATTCAGGTAAGCCCCCTTTAATAACGAAAGGAGGGTGTACACACGGATGGCTCCCCCAGGTAACAATTATTTACACTGGGCTTAAGAGTAAATACAAGTAATTTTATTAAATACAAACAGTAAGATTAAGTGAAAACAGACAAAGCAAATTACAAATTTAAAATAAAAGAAATTACTTAACTAGTTCTAACACACTAAAGTGTATTGCAAACTTACCCTAAAACTGTTATTTCAGGGGGAAAAACAAAACAAAACAAAAAAAACACACCTTCCAAGCCAGGGAAGATATTTTGCTCCCTGGGGTTTCCGGCTCTTCAGGTGTCTCAAAGACCAAGAGACTGAAAACTTTGCATCTTAAGTAGACTTCCTTTTGGGCAGGAATTCTTTGTTTCTACATTCCCCGCTTCCATGGAATATTACCTGGTCAGAACCCTGCTGGAATGGTCACATGTCTTCCTAAGACCAGCCATGCTTAGACTTAACGGACAAAGAAAGCTGTTATCAAGTCATTACGTTGATCACCCACATGTTGAAGTGTTCCCAGCACTGGAAACATCCTTGATGGCTAGCATTTGCACATTAAAAACCACAAACTATTCCAGCCCCATATTTCTAACTTTGCATACAGAAATAATGCAAACACCAAAATAAGAAACACAGATCCAGCAGACCGTGACATTAAAATTGATAGGTTACATGAGATATTTTGTCCAAAGCATCTTTGAGTTATGCATATTTGTGTACACAGGACAATGTCCTACTACATGGGGTGAGGGGGCACATCACAATGCGTGCCCCGATCTGTAATCGCACCTGTAATGGCTGCAAAATTTCTACTGATGTGAACAATCAACTGGGCAAAGGAGATTCAGCCTCTGTTGATCCCCGCAACCCCCTACGACCTGAGGATCCTCCAATCAGTTAGGGAAATAATCAGTGTCGTTAGACCCTAAGCTGAACTAGGCTATTTTGTTCTGGAGGAAAGTACATTCATTGAAAGTGACACCATGCAGAGCTGCTCTGCACGCTTCCTTAGCAAAACACACCCATCTCGCAGAGCGGTAATCTTCAGGGAAAACCAGCCATTCAGATCCAGGGCAAATCGCGCATTCCCATCCACTCTCCAGCAATGCAAAGGGAAGTTTAAACTGTTCTGGGGGCATCAACTGGCAAAAACACATCCTTCCCTCACCTATCATCTTACGGCCCACATAGGAGCCTCTGACGTGCTGGACCGCAGGAGAACCAGACTGATTCCCAGGTCCTGTGAGAGGTGTACCGGGGCCCCAAGCCCCTGTGTGCTTCAGAATACATATCTGCTTGGCCCTGCTCTGCTCAGAGGAGGGTCGAGGGGTGGGGGAAGAACACAGGCCTATCCACTCACCAGACACACGTCCAGGAACAACAGCAATTTCAGGGGCTGCTGTAAACCTGACACTGTCACAAGACCTTCAGAGCTCTTACTGCCCATTCCAGTCCGCCCTGGGATTGCTCCACCACTCAGTTACTTTTACTCAGGGGTGCTGCTAAAAAAAGGGGATGAAACCAGAAGGCGTCCATTTTGGATGTGAATCACAGACCCCTACGTGCCTGATAAAAGAAGAATGAAATGGCCCTACACAAACCAAAGGAGCCACTGAATATTTTTTATTGCAGTATTTTCTTACTGGTCAACCAAAAATAGAGACTTTTTATTACTAATATACTCATCATTTAAAGTGCATACTGTATTCCAGAACCATGAGTTTAAAAAAAAAAAATCCAATACTCCCTCTCTCAAAAATCTTCTAGAAAGTCAGTGTAATTCATAAAATTTAGTAAAACCTTCATTTCAGAACATTAACATCATCAGAATCTGGCAAGTCAGCTTTTCCTGAAACACTCAAGGAATTGTTTTGTGCAAAAAAAACTGCAGTGCATTAATTTACTTTAAAAGTAATGCTGGACTTGGAAAGCTTCAACTTTTCCCCCTTTTGTCTGTTGAGAGAGAGAGAGAGAGACAGACAGACATGAGAATGGATCTGCACAGAGCAGAGAAATAAATCTAAGTTCTCCAACAAAGGCTGTGTCCAGACTCAGGGTTTTTTTTCGGGAAAAGTAGCCTTTTTCCGAAAAAACTTCCCCTGCGTCCAGACTCAAGCCGCGGTCTTTCGAAATAATTTCGAAAGAACGCGGCTTTTCTTTCGATGGCGGTAAACCTCGTTTCACGAGGAAGAACGCCTTCTTTCGAAAGTTCCTCTTTCGAAAGAAGGCGTTCTTCAATGTAAATAGGGCTTCCTTGAAAGAGAGCATCCAGACTCGCTGGGTGCTCTCTTTCGAAAAAGCGGATTGCTCTTTCGAAAGATCCGCCTGCAGTCTAGACGCGATCTTTCGAAAGAGGCTCTTTCGAAAGATGCTTTCGAAAGAAGCCTGCAGTCTAGACATAACCAAAGAGAAATAGACCCTGCTATCTCAAAACCCCCATGTAATCAGCACTAACGCAGGGTCAATTCCGTGTCCAACTGAAGTCAACAGCCACACTCCCATTTGGGGATGTGAAAGTGCATCCGTGTACATGGCTAACTGACGAGCCAGGAGCTGGTATGTGCAAGGAGCTGGCTTACAAGCCGGCTCCCAGCATAAAACGGTTCCCGGGGAGCTAACTGACATTGTGTGTGCAACTGCTGAAATTTTCAGTGGTTACACAGTTACTTAATTAAAACTCCCACAGCCATCAATGGCATCAGGATTTGGCCCTGGAACGAATTCTCCTCTCTCCTCACTGAACAGCTATCCGCACCAACAGGTTACTTACACATGTTTACTCCAAGGTTCTGATCCACGTTAAGTACTTGTCTGGAACTGCAGCACTCATTACTGTGGTATACACCGTGTAACTGGTGGGAACAGAAAGAGGGACCATGTGCTTAAAATACCATTTAAAATCAAGGAAGATCCAAGGTAACAGCAGCAAAGCAAAAGAATGAGTCTTACTAGAAAGAACCATCAAAACAATAAGTGATGAGCACTGAAACATCTGAATGAGTCTGGTAACAATGACAGCCAAATTCTATCCTGGTGCCAACTGGCATAATTCCATTGGTGTCAAGGGAATTTTAACCAGCAGAGAATATGTCCTAATTTGTGGGCCTGCACCTATTTGATCATAGCACTAGAATATTAATAATACAGATCCTAATTGTTACAGTGACAGAATTCAAATTAGGAGGAATAGCATAGAATCATAAATACGAGAACTGCAAGGGACCTCGAGAGGTCATCAAGTCCAGTCCCCTGCCCTCACAGCAGGTCCAAGCACCGTCTAGATCAGTGTTTCTTAAACTGTGTTCTGAGGCAGTTGGACGTGTGCCGCTGAGAACAACAGAGCTCAAAATGGCTCAACAAAAAATCCTTGGTGTTCCTCGGTCTTAAAAAGTTTAAGAAACACTGGTCTAGATCGTCCCTGACATGTGTCTGTCTAACCTGCTCTTAAATATCTCCAGTGATGGAGATTCCGCAACCTCCCTGGGCAATTTATTCCAGTGTTTAACCACCCTGACAGTTGGGAAGTTTTTCCTAATGTCCAACCTGAACCTCCGTTGCGCAGTTTAAGCCCATTGCTTCTTGTTCTATCCTCAGAGGCCAAGGAGAACAATTTTTCTCCCTCCTCCTTTTAACACCCTTTTAAATACTTGAAAACCTCTATCATGTCCCCTCTCAGTCTTCTCTTTTCCAAACTAAACAAGCCCAATTCCTTCAGCCTTCCCTCATAGCTCGTGTTTTTTAGACCTTTCATCATTTTTGCTGCTCTTCTCTGGACCTTCTCCAATTTCTCCACATCTTTCTTGAAATATAGTGTGCTCAGAACTGTACATAATCCTCCAACTGAGGCCTAATCAACAAGAGTAGAGCGGAAGAATGACTTCTAGTGTCTTGCTCACAATGCTCCTGTTAATGCATCCCAGAAGCATAATTGCTTTTTTTGCAACAGTGTGACACTGTTGACTCATATTTAGCTTGTGGTCCACTATGACCCCATCCTTTTAGCAGTTCTTCCTAGACAGTCACTTCCCATTCTGTATGTGTGAAACTGATTGTTCCTTCCTAAGGACTTTGCATTGGTCCTTATTATTAAACTTCATCCTATTTACCCGAGACCCTTTCTCTAGTTTGTCCAGATCATTTTGAATTTTGACCCTATCCTCCACAGCATAATCAGATGTACAACATATAGGTAATTTAATATTTATCGATGACACCACGGAAGCTGTGGAGAGATTAAGCTATATATAAAACAGGATAATGTGGAGAGGGGGGTGATGGAGGTTTCTGTAAGATATAGAGCTGTTATAGAGCAAGTTAAGGAACTCAGCACTGGTTAGGCACACAACAGCACATAAAACAAACCCCGAAGCGACAAGATGCATGTACTGTTTCTTCCTCTTCAAAGCAAGTTTACTAACACTGATTCACAAGGGCAAGAACTGCAACAAAAACTAAGCGGAAAAGGAACATTTAGGATATTGTTAGCAAGATGCATGGTTCAGCCGAAGAGCACCACGGCTGGTGTTAGTATCAATTTGCTTCACTGGTGCGTATTATTGTGAAGTTTAGACACACAGAGGAGGAGTAAGGCTTATGAAATAAAGCTCTTTTACTGAAGAGTGAGTGACAGATGAAGAAAGCAAGCATTGTGTTTATGGCTGGGGAAAATCAGAGACTATTTTGCATATTTAAAGACAAATCTTCTGACAATCTAAAGGCTGGTGTTAGTATCAATTTGCTTCACTGGTGCGTATTATTGTGAAGTTTAGACACACAGAGGAGGAGTAAGGCTTATGAAATAAAGCTCTTTTACTGAAGAGTGAGTGACAGATGAAGAAAGCAAGCATTGTGTTTATGGCTGGGGAAAATCAGAGACTATTTTGCATATTTAAAGACAAATCTTCTGACAATCTAAATTAGTATTAAAAGATCAACTGCCTTGATACATGGCAACGAGCACTGATCCAGGTTTCTAAACAAGATACTTACTTGTTTAAGACCGGCCTCACTGATAATACCTATTCAAAAAAATTAAAGAGCCTGTCATTTTGTCAGATTAGAAGAAACATGTAAGGCTACTTAGAAAAAATGGCATACAATTATTTAAGAAGGATAATGCAATATCAGAGGCCACCGTATTCATTTTTAAAAATCAGAGCCTGAACATTTTGAATCAAAATATATTTGAGAATACACCAAGTTGTGTCATTTACGTAAAGGCTGAACCCCTCTAGTCCAGCACGCTCTGGTCCGGCAACACCCGTGATTTGGCATGATTTTAGTTAGCCGGATGTCCACTTATCATGGGTGTAGTCAAGTTTCCTGCAGTCTCATAAAGTTTGTTTACAGCCACCAGTCCTGGCTCTCAGTGTTCTGGGCTGTTATTTAGCTCTAATTTACCCCTAAATGTCTTCTAAGAGCCCAGCAAGCAGTGGAAGTGTTGGTAATGCTGGTAGGCAACACTGAACTCCCAGGGTCTGGCAAATTCTCTGGTTCAGCACTGGTCAGAGAAACTGAGCACCCATCATGAGAGCTGATGGCAATAGGGGCTAAAAATTGAACCTCAGTATTCTCAACATGGGGGCTGCAAAAATGAGTCTCCAAAATTAACAGACACTAGAAAATTTGTGTATAAGTGACTTGCCCAAGGCCCCACACTGAATCAGTAGCAGAGCATGGCTGCATTCTCCATCACTACAGCATAGTTCACGTAGACCCTGACAACAACAGGCGGCCCTCAAATGAGCACAACAGTCTTAAAAAAAAAAAAACCTCCAGCGAGAGTCCTTTGTTGCATCTCTCTCACATGCACTGCTTGGGCAACTTTCCAAACCCTCGACAAAAAGAATTACATTCCTGAATTGCTATTCAAACCAGCTCTTCCGGCAACAGAATTTTAGGTCAACATTTAGATCCAACAATGCAGAATTTTAAAAAAATACCTTGAAGAGGGTTTCAAAATTAATATTCTTCTGTCCAGTGGCATTGAGAGCTTTAATGGCTGCAGTTCTGCAAGGAAGGGAGGCAAAGTCACTTAACAAAAATAACTGTCGCATGCAGCATGATGAAAAATTTGTCACTACATCAATCCATGTCAAAACATCTGTTTGGTTGTCAGTTATTCTAAAGGGTCTACTAGCTGAATCCAATGCCCTATAATTGAATGAGAGCTGTGGTCATTAAAGGAGACAGAACTATTAAATCCCCCACAGCTGACTGAAAGCTATTATTATTCAAGGATACAGCTACCGAACAGCAGCCAATCTGGCCACATATTTCATCCCCTTGCATAAAACTGTCAGATCAACTGAAAGTGTTGCTGAAGAGTTTAGCAAGGTTTCCAAACAGCCTGTCATTGTGAAGCCTGAATACTTGGATTAGGGTTAAATTTCTGTCTTCTATTGGGACGCCGACCCCAGACATCTTTCCTTAGCTATGATTTTCCCTTTGCCTCATCTGAGCAAACCCTCATCTTCTAACCCCTGTGCTTCCAGCTAAATAGTCCTGCAATCCGTCAGTATCACTCCTTACCTGTTCTAGTTTCTTCGGAGTAATGCTGCAGGAGCTGAAGTAGCTGCCCACTCAGCGCTCAAAACTACTCATGGGAGCACACAAAAACTAGTGTCACCTTTTTAATACAAGCACGGTGCGGCTCTTACTCCAACTCACCTTCGATCGTCAAAAGGAGGAGGGGTTGTCCAGTGATCATAGTTAGTTTCCACACGGAACCACCTATTCCGCAACACACACACACACACACACACACACACACACACACACACACACAAAACAAAAAACAAGCATCATTTCACCCAGTTGCACTTGTGACTCGTGCCTGTTTTTATTAGCCACTTAGTAAGAATAGAAAAAGAACCAAAAGGTTCCCCCTCCCCCAGGTCTGTCGAGTCACCTGTCAATGGCACAGTAAAAGGCAATCTTCCAGCTGTAGTGGATGTTCCCACACATAAGCTGCTAAGGCAGTTGGAAAGAAAGTTCAGCTGAGTCCAAGTGTCAGTACAGTCAACAGCAAAACTACCACTGACTTCAAGAGATGCAGAATCAGGCCCTTAAAATCGAGTCTGCTCTAAGAAGAAACTACGTATAACAAGAGATCTCTCATTTATGGACTGTGCTCCCCGTGTATATTAAGAACTTTAGGTTTTCTGCATATTTATTTTACCTTGAGTGAAAAAAGATAAGGTTTTTAAAAAATGCTTTTAACTTCTGTTAGCCCTGCAGCACCAACCTTACAAACAGGGAATTGGGTGGATTCTTTCTATACATGAACTGAATTGTCTATTAAATAAGGGTTCAGTGAGATATACCCGCACTGAACTTAATGGGGCTGCAGATGGCTCACAGAGGGTACGTCTAGACTACCGGGTTTTGTCGACAGAACCCTGTCGACAGAAGGTGTTATGCCTCGTAAAATGAGGTTTACCAGCGGTAGTGTAGACGCTGGTATAGTTTTGTCGACAAAAATCCACTTTTGTCGACAAAACTATACCAGCGTCTACACTACCGCTGAGTTCTGTCGACATAACATCGACAGAACTCAGCGGTAGTGTAGACGCTGGTATAGTTTTGTCGACAAAAATCCACTTTTGTCGACAAAACTCAGTAGTCTAGACACACCCAGATGGTCCAGTTTAGCATGCATATCGTTCATTACCAGTGATGACACACAAAAGAAGAGAGTCCAGCTCAGCTTTCAGATCCCAAAGTGAATGTGCAAGGCTAACAGTCCACAAAAACCATCATCTGAGCTGTAAATCAGTGACACATGCAAATTTGTTTCCTACCTACATGTAAATTAGCATATTACTGTCAGGGGAGTGGCTTAATAACTGGATAGCAGTCATATCTGTACCAGTAGCTGAATTGTATTAGTCACAGGCAATGTGACTAATGTTTTTCTACTCATGCGCAGAATAAAGTTTTTATGTGCACCAAGGCATAAGCAGATGTGCACCACCAATAAAAACACACACTACTGGCTGTGGGCACTGTGGATGCTCCGCCAATCAGCTGGGCAGCATTTGAATCTCCCACATGCTCAGTTTACAAGAAACACTGGTCACAGGATTATATAATGTAAATATTATTGTTGATCTCAATTAAAAACAAAACAAAACCCGTGTATCCCCTTTCTTCCTCCAGTTCTCAGAGGACTGCCCCTGCCTTGCAAAGCTTCCTTGGCCGAAGAGGGCTTGGAGGAAGCTCCATTTAAACACGTCACTGAAAGCGTCTACTAGCTCAGCCACAATCGATACTGCAGACACACAAGATGCTACCCTCCTACCGGGCCTCACGTCTACCGAACACTCTTCCCAACAGCCCCTCAGAAAGGTGAAACAAAGCAACATGTGAGACCACTTACGCTCCAGCTGTGGGTTCCAGAGGCCAGATGTCTGCCGGGCCCTTTCTATTCCTCGTGATGACCACGCCCTCTTTGGGCAACGTCCCTCCGACGATGTAATAAACGTCCGCAATGATGGGGGTCGCAGCCAGCTTGAGGACAGCAGCTTGAAAGTCTGCAGCTGTGTCCAGGGTCTAGTTGTGCAAAAACAAAATCGCCAGGAATGAACCCTGCCCAGCAACGCCGAGACACTGCACCAGGACAAGTGGGACCAGGGAGGGCTCACAGGGGCGGTGATGGCTGCATTTTATGGAAAGGTAAATGTTGGCTTAGTGATCAGAAGGGAAGGCGTTTGTGAAATGGTCTCTCAGTTGATCTTGCAATCAACGTACGCACTTTAAGCAGCTAAGCAGGCCCACGGATGTCAAGAAATGAACTTGGAGCATGCACCTAAATGTTTGCAGGATTGGAACCACATATAAAGCCAAACTGCAAAATCCCTTCCTCCCACTAGTGAGCATTTAATGCCAAGAATCAGACCTTTTAAGTCATGAGGCCCACTAGGAAGGCAAAGTAAACAAAAAACAAACAAACAAAAAGGCTGAGATTTTATCCTAAAGAAGTTAGGCTCCTGATCCCATGTGACGTGCATGGGACTTGGGTAATTAACTCCCTTGGGTGCCTTTGGCTATCCTAGCCCAAGCACATGATGGCGAAGGTAGACCCAAGTTTGACGAGCACACATTTTTCCCCGTAGCTAGTGACATTTTGAAAAATTCCCATGGCAATAGCCCAGACTTGCACTATTTGTCATAAGAACCAGGAAGGGACAGTGACTAGGAACTGAGTACTCCGGTTTCATCTTCCTGAGTAAAACAGAGAAAGGAACCAAAGAGCATCAGTGATGAAAAATAAATGAGACTGTTTCAAATGAGCCACTGAAGGACGTGAGCATGTTGTCAATTTCCACTGAAGCACTTTGCAGGACTGGATCCTAAATTATAGGATGAAAGAAAAAAGGCTTCTCCGGGCCTGGTTTCTAAATGTGGATTTGGGGGGCAATGAGGAAACCAAAATGCAAACGGCATTTTATTTAGGCCTTGCTCCTGCAAAATTATGCACTTCATTTCCCCCACATGCGTAGTCCCATTGATGCCAATGGAGTTACTCATGTGTGTAAAACTACGCACGTGCCACAGTGTTTGCTCGATTATGGCTGTAGGAAATACACCCTTAGAAACATACCCTCACAAATTAAACACAGCTCAGGAACAAAAAGCCAATGGGGCTAGTGAAATAAATTTAAAAAAAAAAAAAAAACTGTTCAAGAGACAAGCAGGCACCTTGGATAACAGCCAAGGTATATGAACAAACTGAACATTTAGCAGTGGCCAAAGGTTTGGTTTTTTTCTAATATACAGCTGTCTCAATGTTTGCTCGTTATGCCACTGAAGTTATGCAAGACACAATGTGCATACGGTACAAAGGTCGCTCACATTTTCTAGACAGCATCTGCATATTCATGTCATTACGTCTGTGAATTAGAGCCAACAAGGAAAGAAACAGGAGGTGGAGTTTTGCGTGACACTGAGTTAAGTGTTCTGCTCTCACTCCCTGGCATATAGACACTTGTTTGGCTCCCTTAATTAAGCCCTGGAGCAGCACATATACATTCTAATAACTGCTTAGAGTTTCATGCACAGATTTTCTATGAAGCTGTCTGCACATTTCTACAGTCATTCCACCTAACAGGGAAGGATAGACATGGTTACGGACCATTCACTTTTGGACAAATGTACCTGGCATTTCAAGAAATTATTATTGTCTTTTGGGGGCTCAAGTATGGTCCACTAGGAGGAACTCCCCAATTCAGGAAAGCTAGTACATTCACAGTCTTTCAACAGACAGCCAGTGTTAAGGACATAAGAACGGTCATACTGGGTCAGACCAAAGGTCCATCCAGCCCAGTTACTTGTCTGCCAACAGTGGCCAATGCCAAGTGTCCCAGAGGGAGTGAACCGAACAGGTAATGATCAAGCGATCTCTCTCCTGTCATCCATCTCCACCCTCTGGCAAACAGAGGCTAGGGACACCATTCCTTACCCATGAATGGACTTAACCTCCACGAATTTATCTAGTTCTCTTTTAAACCCTGTTATAGTCCTAACCTTCACAACCTCCTCAGGCAAGGAGTTCCACAGGTTGACTATGCGCTGTGTGAAGAAGAACTTCCTTTTATTTGTTTTAAACCTGCTGCCCATTCATTTCATTTGGTGGCCCCTAGTTCTTATATTATGGAAACAAGTAAATAACATGATTTTATAGACCTCTATCATATGCCCCCTTAGTCTCTTTTCCGAGCTGAAAAGTCCAAGTCTCTTTAATCTCACCTCATATGGGATCTGTTCCAAACCCCTAATCATTTTAGTTGCCCTTCTCTGAACCTTTTCTAATGCCAATATATCTTTTTTGAGATGAGGAGACCACATCTGTACGCAGTATTCAAGTTGTGGGCATACCATGGATTTATATAAGGGCAATAAGATATTCTCCGTCTTATTATCGATCCTTTTTTAATGATTCCTAACATCCTGTTTGCTTTTTCGATGGCCGCTGCACACTGCATGGACGTCTTCAGAGAACTATCCACGATGACTCCAGGGTCTCTTTCCTGATTAGTTGTAGCTAAACTAGCCCCCATCATATTGTATGTATAGTTAGGGTTATTTTTTCCAATGTGCATTACTTTACATTTATCCACATTAAATTTCATTTGCCATTTTTTTGCCCAATCACTTAGTTTGGTGAGATCTTTTTGAAGTTCTTCACAGACTGCTTTGGTCTTAACTACCTTGAGTAGGACAACGGGATGTGCCTGGAATGTGATTCCGTTTTATGAGAAACGGAGGGAGAAGTCTGCTAGCAGGGACGGATATACTGTATAATGACCACCGGGGGCAGTGATGGGGACCAAGACAGCCATAATTCCATCAAGGCAGCAGGGGTGGAGAAAAGGATAGCTATGTATTATATATTTGAGAGAGTCTGTGTCTGAACAAGCACCACACCCCCAGCTCTCCCATGAACACATGCTTCTTACCCGGCCCTAAGCTGCTGCCGTGAGAGAGGGCTGAAGCTGTCCTCTCTCCCCTCAAAGCAGCCTGTATCCTGAACCCCACATCCATAGCACCACTCCAGAGCAATGATTTAAATGAAGAAAAACAAAACTTATTTGAGTCAAGGATCTGAGAAACTCCAAGTAAATCTTCTACTCACCTGTATATCTAGCTGCCAGCGCAGTTGCTATGCATTTACACTACTTTCTATCCACCTGATTCCTTAAAATACTTCCTGCTGTGTGGAATGGGAGTCTTTACACAGAAACTTATAGAATACTAGGACTGGAAGGGACCTCGAGAGGTCATCGAGTCCAGTCTCCTGCCCTCCTGGCAGGACCAAATACTGTCTGGACCATCCCTGATAGACATTTATCTAACCTACTCTTAAATATCTCCAGAGATGGGGATTCCACAACCTCCCTGGGCAATTTATTCCAGTGTTTAACTACCCTGACAGTTAGGAACTTTTTCCTAATGTCCAACCTAAACCAGTTTAAGCCCATTGCTTATTGTTCAAGCCTTAGAGGCCAAGATGAACAAGTTTTCTCCCTCCTCCTTATGACACCCTTACATGTTACTGAGTGACAATTACAAGCTATTTGGCAAGAAGCTCCTGCAACACTGGAAGGGACTCTTATTTCCAGCCCTAAGATAGTTTACAGCACAAAAATTTCTAGTCAATACAATACACTCCTGAACAGGTCATATCCTTGCCCGCACATCTACGTAATTGACAAGGCAAACGAAAAATGGAATTTGTTTAATTGAAGTTTGCAACTTCTAACAGCTTGTGGTATGCAACAAACAAAAAAGATTAAACACTCTACATACGTACATCCCTGACAAGCCAGCTGACTGGGAGATTTCGATTCAGGAAAGCAGCTATTGCATTCTCCCACCAACTTCCTTTGTCTGCATAAAGAAAGGGAAATACAGTTACACACAGCGGCAAATCCAGCTGCCAACCAATATGTATATAGTCTATCTTCCTCTGCTTTCCCCATCTCACCACTATTCACTTCTCCTCTCAAGGTCTGTTTTCAGTCTCTATAATCTTCTCCCTTTCTTTCACCAAAGAATGTCCACAATACATTCTCCATCCATGCTGCTACTGGAATTCAATGTGGCAGTCACAGCATCAGCTGTAGTAACTTTTACTACAATGTGACAGCCTCCATAACAGAGTTTGGGACAAATGGCCTTTTCTCAATTTATTTGCACAAACAAACAAACCCACAAGTAAAATCACAGCAGAAAACTCAGTATCGAGGAGACACTTAGGCTATGTCTACAATGCATGCTTATTTCAAAATAAACTATTCCGGAATAGTTATTCCAAAATAGCTTATTTCGAAATAGCATGTCTACACTGCAGGGAAGCCTCAAAATTAGTCTGAGGCAGCGCATTTACATTAGGGAAGCCTATCTCGATAGAGAGCCCCAGGAGGCATTGGGGAGGGGAGGAATAACTTAGAATGGCCCTGGTGCCAGCATGTTTGAGGGAGGCTCTGGCAGAAGAACTGGGTAGGGATAAAAGCAGCTGAACTGCAATTAGTTCCATCCAACATATGTGAGTTGAAAGGCATAAGGTGATCACTTCAACCTCCCTGGGACAAAAGTGCTTCTGAATGATGTTCTACGATGACATTTACGACTATAACAGCGCTGTAGTTCGTACAACCCCAGAACGAGAGCTTGACTTACCTCGTTCATCACCAGAGATTGTGAACTTGTGTGGACTTTGTCCTGTCCATAAGCCTACATAGCCGAAAAAGGTGGTACCCTTATAGGCCACCTGAAATCAGAAGATATACAGCGTTCTACAGTTATGGGGCAGATATGTTCTTAATACACTGATCCAAAACAGCACCCTACATTTTACCTGTAGATTTCCAGTACAGAAATAGCACAGTTCCCGTCGTGTCATTAGAAGAAGTTAACACAGCAACGTTATGCAATTAAAATGTCGGCATCACGATTTAAGGAGGAAACTAGAGGTCAAAAAAATCAAATATTAAATTCCACTGTGTTTCACTTGCTCTAAGGATAACCCAACTACTGTCAAAATGCTGTTCAAGTTAGTGACTGTCTGACAGACAGAATCCTCCTTTTTTTAGGATAGACAGGAGGGAACTGCCACAACAAATCTGAGATTTGCAAACATTTCTAGGATTTAAAATATTTAAAAAAAAACCCCACCCCACACACATTGGTCAGCCCAAGCAATATTTGCAGAACTTGCCAGACTAACAACCATGCAATAAGACTCTTAAAAGGGAAAAAAGACAATGCTGAAACGGAAGAATCAAGAGACAAAAATGACGTATTAGGCTCTCTAATCCCTCTCCTGACCAAAACTGAATTTTATTGTACACGTTAAGTATTTTTTCCAAATTTTAAATGTGTTCTTTGTTTGGTCACTTGGATGGCGGAGGAGGAGGAATACTGTTCTTCAGCCAAATATATCTAGCAGTGTTCCCTCTAATTTTCCCCACCCCTGTGCAGAATGAATTTTCTTACATGCACCCATGTGGAGGTGATGTGTGATCCGGAGTTCACATGCCAACCGCCACCTTCATACTGATGCACATAACATAATGTATGTGGTGGGTGAGGGGCCGAGGGGTTCTGAGCGTGGGAAGGGGCTGGGGCAGAGGATTGGGGTGCGGGCTATGGCTGGGGGTGCAGGCTCTGGGGTGGGACTGGAGATGAGGGGTTTGACATGAAAGGGGGTGTACAGGCTCTGCTCTCGGGGCACAGTCTTCAGGGTGGAACCAGGGATGAGGGCTTTGGGGTGCAAAAGAGGGCTCAGGGTTGAGAGGGACTCAAGATGAGGGTGGGGGGTTACCTGGGCAACTCTGCACTGGGGACAGCATTGAGGGGGATCCTGCCCCGACAACCCTGGCAGCTTCAGGGTTTAGGGAGAGCAATCTTTCCCCACTGCAGCCCTGAGCCCCTGTGCAGGACCCTGGCAGCTTCAGGGCTTAGGGAGAGCAATCTTTCCCCATTGCAGCCCTTAGCCCCTGTGCAGGGCTCAATGAGAAGCTGCAGGGCCGCACAGCTTAGGGGGGAGCTTAGACATCACATGACTGATAAGATTTTTCTTACTCTCAATCTGAGTTTCCCTTAATTTCCCGAACCACCTTGAATAATTCCTCTCCATTCTTGGTGTTTTCACTATACTAATACTTGGAAATAACTGTCTCATCCCTTTACTATATATTTTGCTCTTTTAATATTTCCTTACAAATAGGTCTCATCTGGCCCCAGGTCAACTTCTGTTTCTTAAGCAGGACTCTTGTCCAGTTTTTTCCAATTTCTCACTGATATTCTGGTGCCCAATAATGAATAACTCAAACGCAGATACACCATATCAGGCTAGATAAACAAGCTCTGTTATATACACTTGGAAAGATGGAGGAGCACTCTAAATAGTGAATACTATATTATTCATTTTCTTGCACATCTGTTGATTTAATCAGTCCACTAAATTCAGCTGCTTAAAGATACATAAATCCGTGTACCATTCTCAGAGAACAATATCATTCCATGCCAAACCATACCTGTCCATTTCTCATAAACTGCACGTCAATTGTAATCTTCTGTAAAATATCTCCAAAAGCATAATCCAAGTTCCGACCATGGTAAATGTTTCCCTTCAAATCTTGAGCAATAATACTGGTGCAGAAACTTGAAAAACAGAAGGAAAAGGAACTATTTACAAAAAACAAAACAAAAAACCACACACACACACACACACACACACACACACTTTTTCCAATACAGAATCTCTTCCAGTAAATTTTTTGGGGCAGTAACTGAATGTTTTATCTTCTCACTAAAGTCCCTTTAACACTTATAGGATTTCATATACAAATGTTAAACTTCTACAGTTAAAAAAAAAAGTTGAGACCACAAAGGTTGCAATGTAAACATGCATATGTGAAAATAAAATTGTGTTTGCAACTTTCTCTCTACCCTTTTCAGTGTCTATATTACAATGCAGTGTTTATCTACGATTTCTATACTGTAAATATTGTCACACAGTTGTTTTGGTGTATAGTTCTATAATATCCTATAGTCCTCCAATCATCTGATGAAGTGGGTTTTTACCCACAAAAGCTCACGGTTTTATATATTTTGGTCAATCTCTTAGGTGCCACGGCTACTCATTCTTTTTAAAGTTACTAGCACAACTATCCTTCTGAGAATCCATGAAAGTTCTTAATAGGAAAAAACATAGAATTCCACCACTGGAATTCCCATCTCTTGATATGTAGCCATCTCAGTTTCCTCCATCCATAAAACATCTTTCCAAGATTTCACTCACTAACCTTAAAAGTATCAATCCTCACCTCACTGCAAATTATCAAACAGTTCAGCAGTTTCTTTGGATACAAAATAAATTGGGAAAACTCTAAAATTATGCCCACAAAATAAACAATGTATTTATACTTATTTTGAAGATACTGAGGTCAAGTTAAAGAGAACTAATTTAGCTAGGTATCTCTCTTCTCCCTTGCCTAAAGTAATAATTACCCTTAACAGGACTGGGCCCTAAATTATTGAAATGCATACTTTATATATTGGTTCTCTCCTCTCTAAAGACAAAAATCAAAACAGAACACTGAAAATGAGGTAACTATATACAAAATTTTAAAATATGTACTTACAGCTGTAGAAAAAATATATTTATGAAAGAGGATGTAATCATGTAATTAAAGGCCGTGTTACAATGTACGCACACAAAAGAGAGAAAAGTTCAGTGCTTAACTGTGCAACCATCACATTCTTTTAATAAATGCATGGAATTTTGAAGTACTTTTAAAGAAAAGAGAGAGAAATTCCAACACAACAAATATTGGATTAGGCATTTCTGCAATGCCCTATCCACCTCATCCTGAGGCTTACAGAAATGAGTCCTCAGACTTGTGCAGTTTTTTTAATACAGCTGCGTGGGAAATGTTTTTCCTGTCCTGGGAAAAGTTTGGGGGAAAGAAGTTGAAGTCTCCAATATTTTTGCAAATTGACAATCTCCTCCCCCCAAAATCAGTTTAGGTCAATCAAAATGTTTTTATTTTGATTTCACCCTTTTCATATTTTCTAATATAAACTATAAATGATCTTAAATTTCTAAATGAAAAATAATTTTGAACAGAAAAACAGACATTTTTCATTTCAAATGTTTCACAACAGGACATTCAGACAATTTCAAAACTTCTCCAAAATCTGTGACAGACAAGAAATCTGTCAAAACCAATCCTTTTCCCACTAACAATTTCCATTTTGATGAACTGACATTGCATGGCAAGAAAATGTTTATTCATCTATTTCCCAACCAGCTCCAACAGTGATTCAGGCATTCATTTGTACCAGACAGAGATATAACTGAGAAACTGAAAACGAGTTTAAAATGCAAACTGTTATATAATCTTATTGACAGCAATCTGTGTCTATAATAATGCTCCTTTGTAGCAAACTGCACCCTACAGTCTTTAACTCTTAATACACAACTCTTCAGCTAGAAAGTAACCAGAGCCATCTGGCCTTTATTAGCATTAAGAAATAATTTACACATCACAAAATAGCAATAGCGGCACCTATGTCATGCAGTAACACTTGAATGATTATTGAATATTTGCTCCTCATTTGTAGCTCCTCACACACTGCAAAGTATCAGATAACCAATGCTAAAAGCCCTTTTTGTTTTTTAAACAGGTGCAACTCGAAGGACTATCTTGGAACTGCATGTAATTACACTCAAGATACATTAGATCTGAACTACAAGGAACCTGTTAGTGCAATATTTTTCCCTGTGTAGATAAGGTACACACCTCTATTTAATAACCTACTGTTTATAGTAATAATGGCTGTTCCTATACATGAGAATAAATGTGTTAGGATCCCAGAAGAAAATGGATAAAGAAAAATATGTCACCCTCATTTCATAATATACAGCACGTTAGGATTCCAAACACAGCACCGATGCTGTTTTTACGGGAGTACACATACATATTACATTTACATCAAAGAAAAGATTATCAGCACTAACTTTCTGCTGCTATTTCATCACCACCTCACATGATTCAGGGCCCAATCCTGTACGGTGAGGTGACTCCTTAGCACTTAATGGGTTCACTGTGAGCTGAGGGCAGGAATTCCCTTAACAGCTGGTGTTCAGATCATGAGTCCATCCAGCCTTCCAGTGAACATTTATGCTTACAAAGAGATTGTGTCACCTAGGTTGAACCCAACATTCAACTACTGTGATAAGGGGTTTTAGTCAAAATTAAACTGGGAGAGTAGATTTTTTCAGATGAAAAATGTTAAAGTTTTTTTTAATTAAACTTTTCTCTGCAGTTCTGTGAACTCAAACAATAGATTAGCAATAAAAAAAAAGTGACTGAAACAAAAGTTAGCTTTTTTCCCCTCTTCCATTTAAGTTTCACCCACAGTTTCAAAGACAATTCTTCATTTTCTCACTGCAGGCCAAGCCAAAAAGTAAGTTGTGGTATAACCACAATCAGCCAGCAAGACAGTTTTAAACACAAATGTATCTGTTTCCACTCAGAAGCTAAGTGATGCTTAACAAATGACTTAAAAAAAAAAAAAAGCAGCACAACTCATTTTCCTAGACCAAAGCTTTCTTACTTCTGCGTTGTGAGTGAAACATAGCCAATTTACTTTTTAACTGTGAAGGAGCTAATGAGGGTTTGAATGAATGCTTCCTGCCAATTTGTGCTGAAGTTTCAATATATATATTATTGCATAATACTGTCTCACCTCCCCCCTCTCCCTCCCCATTAAAGCATTAATGTAGCTGGATTGATTTATACACTTAAAGAAATCAGTCTGATTCCATCTGGTATATTAGATCACAGATTTTCTATTTGCATTCAATGGTAATTTATAGCCATTTTTACAGTCAGACACACTCCTCCACTGCTTTAAAATTGGAATAGTCTGATTTTTTCCCCCCAGGACCAACATAATACTCACGCAGTAGATTCATAGGCCAAATTGATGAGGATTCCATCTCCAACGCTGATCCCCAGCGCCTGGCACATTCCCAGGATCTCTCCTGCAAAGGGTTGAGGGATAAAATACTCCAGTTTTGCTGCTAGGGGACGAATGACAGCATGGACCCACTCCGGGACAGTTTCGCTGAAAGACAAACCCAAACCATCAGCTCCTCCTTGCCTTGAGGACGGGGGTGGACAGTCCGAGTAATAGGTACAGTATCTTCAGCTCACAAGTGAACCCAGTATTGGATTCAATGCCCCGCTGCTCAGCGCAAGACAGAAAGTTGCTTTGTGGTATTAATTCTGAGTTAGCAGCCTTGTGCTAGGCTGCCTGTCGGGCTCATGCTCTCAGCCCAGAAACATTTATCCAGGTAAGTTCTGCAGGAATCATGTAAGTCAAGTTACCCAAGGTTTGCAGGAGGAGATATGTTCTTTCATTTCCTGTTAGTTCCTCAGACTCCTAACTTGATACATTTCTAAGGTGCCCACCATCACCATGCTAAGGGGGGGGAGGGTATGAACTGCTATTTTTGGGGGGTGACGTTCACTCTACTTACACAAAGCCTGAGTACTGGGGCTCAGTAGCAGCGGACTGCACCACAATAGCCCAGACCTACTCCCTGGAACTACCACGCAGCAGTGTTGTCTTCAAGTCGTCATTGTCAAGTCCAAGTCGAGTCTCAAGTCGCAACAGTTCCAGTCTCAAGTCGAGTCCCGAGTCCCTAAAGTCACTTTTCGAGTCAAGTCCCAAGTCGAGTCTCAAGTCTTAATTTAAAAAACGGTCAAGTCACTTTTGTACAAGCCATCCATATGGGCATTTTCGGACAATTTTTTCCACCGAGTCGATTTCACAAAATTAGCAAGTCTCACGTCGAGTCTCAAGTCACACACAATGAGCCCGTGTCGCGTCATCTCGGCGACTTAAGTCGGGCTCCAGTTCAAGGCGTGGGACTCGAGTCAACAACTCTGCCATGCAGCCCTCACCAGCGCCCACCTGGCAAACCGCTTGCCAGAGATTGAAATCCAGCCTAGCTGATTAGCAGAGCACCCACCGCCTGTGTGTCTCCCGGTGGTGCACACCTGCATATGCTGCTGTGTGCATAAAATTTATTCTCCACGGGATGGGGGGAAAAACAGGGGGCACTGGCCCTCCCCCAAGAACCAGGCCAGAGCTAGAACCAGCTAGTTCCCTGGCTTGAACTCCCCCCTTGTGCAATTTACCGGCACCTCCGCTCAGCCCCCGGGGAGAGCAGAGCTGCCAAGGCAAAGGAAGCCAGGGCCCTAGGCGAGGGGGCGGCGCAGAAGCGTGGCTCCGCCAGACGCCGCGGTGATGGGCGACCCCCCCGGCCTCACTCACTGGATGACCCGGCGCAGCGCCGCCCGCAGGAAAGCCGGCTCGAAGTGGC